TCAATCGTTTCCTTTTCATTTTTTACATATAAATAAACTTATTCTGAGTGCTTATAGTCGTCAGAAAATGTGGTACAGTTTTCCTTGATTTGTGAACATTTTGGTTTTTGGCAATACCACCTTTTGCATTTCCACCCTTCAATTGTGCACGTTTCGGGTAGTAAAACCCGGAGCGAGTTTAGTGATTTTTTTTTCTGTTAAAGTAAAATATACCTTTTGTGTTTTGGGTGCAGTAGAAACCCAGAACGCAATTTTTGTGCGTGTGTATACCGAGTGAGTAACACATACGCGTTCGATTTTTGTCTGACCGACAAGACAGCCGTTTTGTGCCGCGTGGTACAATTTTTGCAACCGTGCGTCTACAAGTATACGCTAGGTGAGCAACGTTTTGTAATATACTTATATTATTATTATAGATTAGATTTTTCTTAAAACAATTTAATTAGAATTTTAGTTCAATAATTTTTCAAAAATGTTATTCAATATTAAATAACCACGAAAATATTTTAATTTAAGTTTCAAACTGTTCAAAAATTAATTATTTAAGTGTTAAGCATAAATTAATTAAAGTAAATTGTATTATGATATGAATGACGAACACCTTATTGCTTTGGGAAAAAAAATTACAAAATTAACCAATATTTATTTACAAAAGAAACCAGATTTTATTGAATTATGCAAATCGACACTAATATTTTCCAAAATTGGTTTGAGTCAACGTTTTTAAAAGAAGTCCAAGGTGGTGGCCCTTGTGAATTAATAGGCGATAACTTGGCGTCCCACATAAATGAACGCGTGATAGAAATATGTGAAGCTCACGACATAAGGTTCATTTGTTTACCACCAAATACTACTCACATTACACAATCCCTCGATATTGCTTTTTTCGGCCCGATGAAAGGGGCTTGGAGAAATATTTTAAGGGAATGGAAAAAAACAAAAATGGGCTCTTGTTTTACAACTCTACCAAAAGATTTATTTCCCAGATTCCTGAACAAATTGATGGAAAAAATTGATATGAATAAAGCCGAGAATTTAAAATCTGGTTTCATCAAAGCTACCCCTTAAACCGACAAAAACTTTTAGACCGGTTGGCAGAAAATAAAGGGGAAATGTTCGACCAATACTTAATAGGCAATGCCTTTATCGACCGCATTCAAAAAGAACGTGAAGATTTTATTGGTGTAGGTGGAAAACAGAGAAAAAAAAAAATTACAAGTGTCACCCGGCGACAGTATTTCCGTCGTTGAAATTCGAAAATCACGCGGAAACCCAGGACCTTCAAATGAAACACCTCGACCAAAAAAGAAGTTAAAGTACGCTGAGTTGTCTTCCTCGAGCGAATCCGATATTGACGGTATTGACACTTTATTAAGTGACAGTGATGATGTTGATCTTGATCCTGATAGTGACAGCGAGGATGTTGAAAATCTCGATCAGGCTGTCGCCGAAGCAGAGGAAGAACAACAAGCTTCGAATTACAACGTTGGCGATTTTGTAATTGTACAATTTGAAAACAAAAACTTTCCTGGTCGTATTATATCGATTTTCGATAAAGGCGCCAAAGTAGATTGTATGGAGAAGTTGTCAAAGCAGTGGAGGTGGCCGTCCAAAAATGACTGTATTGACTACGAATGGAGAGACATAATACGCAAAATTCAGCCACCGTTATTGTGTAAGCGCAATTTTTTTCGAGTACCGGACCTCGAAGAATTTGTCTGATTACCTTTAATCTTTATATTGTATAACGTAAATATAAATGTATAACGTAAGAACTATTTTTTTTTTAATTTAATGTATTTTTCGAAGAATATAAATTTTTTTTTCCCTTAAAAGGCTGTTTTATTTATTCATTTAGCTTGTTTTACCATAAAAATTGGTTTAGTCTAATCTCAAGAACTTGCTGATTAATTTGGCATAGGTTAACTTTAGCCCAAAGTAACAGGAACGAAAATATATAAGGATATTTGGAGGCGGGTTAAAATTCCCCCTTTGCCGGGAAACATTGGCCCAAATTTTTGAAAATTTTTTTTATACTTAAAAAATTTAAAACTTAAAAAATTAGATTTCGGAAAAGGCATTTCTAGACCCACACCATTACGTCAATATTTTTTTATTTTCATGTTTTTAAGTGCAAGCTAGTTAAAATTAGCCCCAAAATTGAAAAATGACGAAAAATGGCGCAAAGTATCCCCGGTATTGATTTGTTATATATATTATTTACTATGGTCAGTCATTTTCTCACTCAACTTTTTGAAAGTCGCAAGCCGGACTAATGTATCCTTATCAGGTTTGCGTTTATTTGTCATAGGTATTATGTTCTATGATTGTAATAAACTGAATAGTGAATACTGATTACTGATAATAAACTTTAAAACTAGAAAAGTAAAATACTAAACCATGTGGCCATGCAGCATAGCACTATTACTTAAATAGTTAAATATTACATGTATAATGTAATTAATAATTGAACTATTATATGTTTATGTTGTAAACCGTTATAAGTAGACAGACAGTTTAAATTTCTTAAATAGCATAATAAACCTAACAAAATAGTTGTTGAATCATTAGTTTGTCTAGAATATTCCATTGAACTTAAAATTACATTATACCTAAGTCGTAATTCGGGATATACATATGTATGTATTTTATTTGATATTTTAATCAAAAATATATGTATTTAAGTTTATATTATGAAGTGTGATGTAAATTTGATAATACATGAAATATGAATACCAACCGTCCAACCACCTGGAAAGCACAACATTTGTACCTACATGAAGTTTATTGGTAAGTTTTCTTAAAATGTATACGTAGAAAAATTGTTATGATTAATACATTAATTTGCCAAAATGTGGCATTAACTTTAATTTATTTAACCATAATGAAAAACTGCTCTGGACATCATATAAGGTCCAAATAGGTGCCTCAGGGGAAACAGTGACTCCTCTGAGTCTGGTCCAAATAACATCATCATCAGAAGTCTGGACAGCGGAGGAAGGCCTGGAGATCAGTGCACCGGACGAGTTGAGACTATTAATTATTTTACTAGCAGGGTATAGGGTATGGCATAGCATTAGAGATCATCCAGGGTGATTATCCAGGGTCTTAGGGAAGATCAATCTGGTTGCTAGAAATGAACCGTTCAACCTAGTATCTGATATAACACCAACGGAATTAGCTAGATGCAAATCTTGGTACAAAAATGCGGAATTCCGAGTTCTAATTGCCATCCTAGACATGTTCTGGGTTAAGTTCCCTAATCACTCATTGTCCAAACTCCGAGTTTGCACATTGAACTCACGTTTCAAGGATTGCTCGACAATAAGTGAAATAAAGCACCTATCCCAAGTATCCTGCCGGAAGATTGGCGATATCCTAAAATATGCGTTTAGTGCTAGCGTCCGTGACGAAATAGAGTCCATAGGACGTGCTGGAGAGGAGTTCAACGCAGAAGACTCATATTTCCCTTACATGAGGGAGCTGAGGCTATCCAAAAGGTCTCCTTACTCCTCAACCGAGAATGTGCATTTGCACAACTGGATATGTACCTTTGGGGCTCTTTTAGGGAGTGAGAGGTCATTCAATGCCAGAATAGTCTCAGAGAGTGGGTTGATGATGAGCCTAAATCTCGCCATGTTTGCAGCATATGCTTTCAGGAAGTATTCCACTCCACAAATGGTATTTTCATCTGGAGAAGATGCGAAGATGGCAGAAGACTTTAAACAATTGGAAGCTGAAACTTCAGAAGCGGAATTCCACATAGATCCTTCGTCTGCCTTGGGAGTGTTCAAGCACATGCAAGAATGTGGGAATTCTATCCCTGTTGAAATGAAACAGTTATTTGCCCCATTAATAAACAAGATGGGAATCCCTAGAGAGAAGACAATTGGTCAGTTTATAAAACGAAACCTATAAGACAACAGACTTACAATTATATGAAAAAAAAAAACATCTTTAGAACGTCAACTTCTTCATGCTGAGC